CTAGTATATATAGCCGGTCTAACTGTTTTTTTAAAAGAAAAAATAGATTTTTTTTTTACCTACCATATCGACTAGAAATGGGGTGAGGGTGCCTTTCCTTTTCGTCATGTATAGGCAATAATAACATGTCGATAAACTCAGCATGTTTCTCTACCTCCCGCTCCGCAAGGCTTCGAATCCGGTCGGATTCTCCTTTCACTTTACGTTTTCAATTAACCATCTATTTAGAGAAAAAAGCAATAAAACGAAAAATAGAAAAAAAAAAAATTAAAGATTTGCGATGATTCCATGATGCGTTTCGGAGTTGGCACTCAAAGCAAAAAGAGCTCATTCTCATAGAATCCAAATCATCGTGCCACCACCGTATGCTGATCCAGCTGGAGGTGGGGCCCCGCGGGGGCACGCGACGTGTGTACGCTGGAGGAGCCGCGAGTCACGGTCGCGGCCGACAATGGGAGACCGCCACGCGTGGCGCCCGCCCCCACGTTACTTCCTGGCGGTGGCGGTTCGAACGAAACATTAAATGACACGCACACAAACGACGAAGGAAAACAGCCGCGACCAAAGCCCCAAGACAAATGAAGACATCGCGGGGGGAGATCAGAAGAAGCTCCAATAAAAAAATGGGTTAACGGGGTTGCTGGGCGATCGGCGGAGGTGGAGGTGGCGGCCTGTGAATCGCGGGATCGAGGTTCGATTAGGTGGCTTGCATATGCGAGGAGATTGGATTCCGCCTGGCTCCGACGCATGTGACTTGTCCATCGGGGAAAAAAACAAAAGGAAAACCTATCATTAACCAAATCGTCTCCCTGAGTTTACCTGCTGCTAATCGGTTTGTTTCACTACGTGTGAGTTTGTGGCTGGCTGACCGCCTGCTTTAAAAAGCTTAAACTTGGATAGTATTGGACCTCTCTCACCCCCAAAAACTAGCTAAAAGAAATCAAAGATGAGATTTTCCCTTACATCTATAAAGCGATCACCAATCCCTTCTATAATTGATGTGGGATAACCCCAACAATTTCCCCCTCATATATCGGGTTTAGGTCAAAGCAGCAACAACCCTTGACTGTTGGGTCAAGACTTGTTAGTTACCTAAGGTCTGATATCATGCGAGATTTCGTGGAACCAGTGCCGACTGTTCTAAAAGCTTAAATTGATAGATGAAGGCGTGGTTTCATATTTAAATATTCTAAGACATTAGAAAAAGATCGCCTCTCTAATCAAACACCCTTTCATGGCGGGATTATGTGATTACGCTACTAGTTTCGAAAAAACGAAATTCATGGCCGACGAAAAGTGTATAAATTAAAAGTCGAGAGCCGATTTGTGCAACGCCGTGTCGGGATCGCAAGTCACTCGATGCGTACGGAGTGCACCGAGACATGACATCCCGTACGCATCGAGACATGACATCTCGATGCTTTCCATAATTTAGAAAGATAACGAGTGGCACGCTCGAACTATGAAGTTTGGAGTCTTTGGACAACGTCTGGTGTTTGCGACTCCGGAGGTTCGGCACAAGAGAGACATGAGGTATGACGAATGTGAAGTGTGCTGTTGACTAGAAGATTGCGGCTCCATATTGGGCCAGCAGAAACGACCTGCGAAGTACGAAATGCGACGTTCGTCGCGGTCCAAGAGCGTTCCTCCGTTGCCTCTTCACAACGGGCCTTAAAGCCCTCGTTTTCAGCGACGGCCCGAACTGTTCTGCGTCGCCGTGGAACAAGCTCACCGAGGGAAAATGAAATTTCTTTATACGTGACTATTAAGTAGCATCAAATAAAACTTACCCTTTTTTGCCCCCGGAATGTGAAATTTCTTCGTATGCACCCTTAAGAAAGGGAAATGCTTGCATGACCGTCGACTGCCGAATGACATTTGTAACGGGAGGGCAGCCACAAATTCATTTTGAAGGAACCTGTAGACTTCTTAAACCGTTTTTAATTTTTGACTCTGTTTCCTTTTTACAAGCTTGAATTTAGAGATAAAAATCAGAAGAGGGCCCACGGAATCAATGTTCTTGAATATTATTAGTTTGATTTGTTTCTTTAAATAATACAAGAAAATCGTTCCTATTTCATGCATAATCAATATCATTGATCTCAATTTTAGATCACCGGAAAGTTCTTACAGAGCAATTTGATTTGACCGAAAGGTTTGAGGAGCCATTTCTTCGCACAATGAGTCTGTTATTAGTTGCAAAGCTAACGTTTCAAGCGTATTTTCATCTTTAAAAATTTAATAAATCTATTTAATGGCATTAACGATTTCTTTTTAGAAATTAATAATATTTTTCTACTAGTATCTATTTATATTTTGGTGTCTAGTTTATTTTCTCTTTCTTCATATTCAAGAATATTGATTCTATGGGCCATTTTCTGATTTTTATCTCTAAATAAGCTTGCAATAAGGAAATACAGAAGTTAAAAAAAAAAAAAAGGAAACAGAGTCAAAAATTAAAACCGTTTTAAGAAGTCTACGAGCTTCCTCAGAATGAATTTGTGTGGCCACCCTCGGACCGTTACACTGTCATTTGGCAGTGGACGGTCGTGCTAGCCGCCCCCTTTAAGAAATGTGCATACATTCGGATATAATTTGTTTCCCCAATAGTTGGATATATTTTTTCAGCAAGAAATTTAAAAAAAAAAGTTGTTTCTGCCTTTTTACTAACCAAAGCAAAGTCACCCGTAATTGCCAATGTTGACTTAAATTTTTCGGCTGATAATAATAAGTGATAGTCATCTATATGCCAGCCTTGAGAAGAAGCCAGAACCCATGATTAATGGGTTGCTCAAGCGATAAGCGTGTTCGTTCCTCTCGCTCAAGACTCGAGTACGAATTACCACACTTATACATTCTCTTGGCTTCACCTTTAGAAGTCTCGGACACCTGTTGATATATCAAAAGAACAATCAAATTTGAAAAACAATACCTAAAACCGATATTATTCATATGGGCAATAACTTTACACACTTTTGTTGGCTAATAAATAATTTTGAGCATGAATGTTGATCGACAGAGTCCTTTATTCCTCTCTTTTACAACTGTATACAAAACCAGGCGTTACATGAGAAAACGAGCGTGAAGGTTCGCCCAATCTCAAGAGGTAAATGAAGGGGTTCGAGTAGCACTCTTACACGAGAAAACCCGGCCTGACCAACTCTACCTCTAGCTCTAGCTCGGTCCGGCCCGATCTGTTCCCGCAAGACGATAAGCACCAATTGCCATCATAATGACCTAACACACAATGCATTTTCCAAAGTCTTGCGGGGTCTCAAATGAGGGTGGTCAAACGTGCCACCCACGTTCCCCCCCCTTATGCCGGATGACCTTTCGCTCTCCGAAGAGTTGCCACATCATATCACCCATCCAACCCACCAAGCCGAAGCAGCACTCGATCAACACGAAGCTCAAAAACCCAACCCACCCCACCCCGCCCCCCCAAAACTGGAATCTTTCAGCCCCCCCCGCCTTCTCCAAAAAGAAGCGAAAGAGAAGGGCCTTGTCCCACTCGAGCAAAAGTGGAAGCAACCAATACAATAATACAAGGAGAACAGAATACGCGGACACGCCTCCCCCCGCACCAAAAAAAAATTGTAAGGCAAAAGTCGATCCCGAGTACGACCCATTCAGCCGGTTTCCGAGCGCCTTCCCTCGTCCACAATTCAAACATGGCAACCGAGTGAGCGAATTGATGTGACCCGTGAGCCGGCACCACCATCCACCACCCCGCCACTTATTCCCTCTCTGTTGCTCATAGCTTCGCCGGTCTTTCTATCTAACACGCATGTGAACCGAACCGATGCCCATCGTGAAATCTTCTTGGCACAACCCAATTCGCAATTTTAGCACCTTGATTGTAACACCTTTTAAGCGCGCGAGCGTAAAGAAGAATGATAAAAAAAACAGAAAAGGTTTTTATTGGGGGGCATGTCGGAACGACGACTGTGAACGAGTATTCGGGAGTTGGCGTTTGGTGTGCCTTCCGGAGATATCGATAGAGAAGAAATCTGTGTGCTGAGTTTTGTAAGGGCTATAGAAAGATTGCTAAATTCCCAAATGAAATCAGCAACTTCATTTTTTTCTGCCGAGTAATTTTGTGCAAACACTATATTTTACCTGAAACAGCAATTGCATCCAGGCGGTCAACTCTTGAGGGATCTTTTTCTCGTTTGGATTGGAAACTGGTGTTGGGGTTTAGGTTACGTTGAGCATATTCCATGTAAAAAAAACAAAATTTTGCGTGTCAGCAATGGCATCTGCCCCCAATCAAAATCGAAATTCAGTTGAAAACAGCCCAGAGACGACCTCCCCAGAAATCTACTCCATCTCATGATGAACTTCCTAATGGCCAATCCCACGTGTTCCGGAACGATTTGTCTTGCCAAATGCATAATGCGACCGTGTTCGATGAGCTCAACCGACAGCCAAACACGTTCGATCCGAATTTCCCTAACTCGCTTTCCGACCGAATCTCAATTCCTGCATTCACGTCCCGGAACGAAATCACGCATCGAGCCCCACCCATTTGCAGGTACATCATCAGCAGAGAGCAACTCGTGCAAGGCAAGGCAGTGCAAGCAAATACAACACTTGCGAACTCCAAAAAAACATCACCATTTCTTGTTTTTGGTATAAGGGGTTGTCAAGAATCGATCCCATCTGGTCACATTTCAGATCGGAGAACGCAATAGACCTCTATCCACGACGAGCAACAAGAACCCATTTGGCATCGAATGCCCAAGAACACGAAACTCGAATCTATTTCACCAAACAAATGAAAAATTTCGCAGTAACGCTTTGCTAATCTAATCTAGGGACAGACCACAGAGACATCCCCCGCCCCTGCAGATCCATATGCACAGGTAACCTTCAGGCATCGGCAAAGACGCATCAGTTCATAGGCCCAGAAGAAGCAAGAAGATGAAACAGCCACATCCACCATATTCATACCACAGGAACCAGTCGATTTTCAAGCACAAATCGCCCAGCAATACGCATCAGCTTAAAGACTTTCTCTTTTCATTTCATCTTTAATCGTACCCCCACCTCATCTTTTTGCATTCCACATCTCTTTCCATTTCCGCAATGAGAATACCACCAGGATATTTGAAGAAAATAATAAAAAATAAATTCAAGACGAGGCTTTGATGTTCTTTACGGCCGCCGAGCAACTCACAGGCACAGCCGCAGATCTTCGCCGTCGAGGTCAACCCCGCCCGACGGCGGCAGATTCAGATCGAAAGGCAAGGGCCCCCTCCTCCTAAACCACGACGTCGACGACGACCCCTCCTCGACGCCCCCTCCGCAATCGTCCACCACCGACGACGACGAATCGCAGTCGCTCTGGCAGTCCTCCGGCTCCACCGGCGGCGACCTCCGGTACCTCTTCTCCGCCGGCGGCGGCGCCGCGATCGCGGCGGACGGCGGGGGCCGGGGCCCGCTGAACGACTCCACGGTGCTGCTCAGGCTGCTGCAGGTGGGCCTCTGCTGGAAGGCCCGCCGGCTCTGCTGGGGGTCCTCCCGCACCGCGCCGCGGTGCCGGATCCGGGCCGGGGCCGGGGGAGGCGGGGGGGCCTGGGCGCGGGCCTCCTCGCCGCCGCCCTCGTAGAGGGAGATGGGGAAGTTGGTCTTGGCCTTGGAGCCGCGGAACCGGACGGCGGCGAGGTCGTAGGCGCGGGCGGCATCCTCGGCGGAGGCGAAGGTGCCGAGCCAGACGCGGGCCTTCCTGATGGGGTCGCTGATCTCGGCGGTGTACTTGCCCCACCGCCGCCTCCGCACGCCCCTGTACTTGGGCTCGCCGGCGCCGAGCTGCTGTTCTTGTTGCGGCTGCTGCTGGTGGCTCTTCGGGGCCGATCCGGCGAGCTCCGGGGCGTCGTCCGGCGTCGCAGCGGCTCGGGTCGGAATCATGCTGAGAGAGAGAGAGAGAGAGAGAAAGACGGAGAGGTTGGGATGGATGGATGGATGGGTGGATGGGAGAGGAAAGAGCAACAAGGGCCGGAGCTGCTGCTTCTTTCCTCTCTGCGAAGAGAGATGGGGGATGGATTTATGTGATTTCTTCCTTTCTTTGTTCCTTCGTTTCTCGGGCCTTTTTACGTGTTTTTCTTTCCTTCGTTTTTTTCTTTTTGGGGTTTCTTTTGGCCTTTTCTCTGGTTTCGTGGGTGGGTGTGGTGTGGGGGAGAGAGATAGAGAGAGGAAGGTAAGGAAGGAGATGGCTTCGATTTGTTTTTCTTTGGGGTGGAGAGTTTCTCTTTCTTCCTTCTTTTTTTTGGAAAAAAGAAAAGAAAATGATTTTTCGTTTTTTATTTTTATTTTGGGGGTCTTCTTCTGGTTGAGAAATGGCTCCTTCTTTTGTTGCATTGCAGCCGGGTCTTCTTCTCTCTCGACCGTCCTTACCTTCTTGGCTTGTCCCCACCAACCTACTCCTCCGACCACTTTCCTTTTCCCTTTCTTTTATTTCTCTCGCTCTTTTTTTTTTTTAATTTCGTGGAGTTGGTTTTTTTTTATATTTGGTTCCTTTCGCTCCTTCTCTCTCTCGCCGAACGAGTTTCTGAATTTCTTTTTCGCGAACGAGAATATGGCCGATTCTCTGTTTTTTTAGGTTAACAATGAAGGAAAATGGACCCGGCGAAAAAAAGAAATTTCGAAATTTCACTCCTTTTCCCCTTTTGTGAAAATCTTTAATATTTTCTTCATTTCCTTGTCTCTCCCTCTTTCCTTGACACAGACCGTGATGATGATTCATTAAATGTGCATCTCAAAAAATCAGTAAGTATTATTTTGTTGGATCGCCACATTATGATCTGTTCGAAGCGATTTTTCGCTTTTCATGTTCTACTTTTCTTCGAATCTCATAGAGCAAGTAATTTGATTTTTTTTTGTATTTTACATATGCATGCATGTACAATCTTTTTCATAATTTCTTAAATTCAAATAATATTTTAAGTACTTGACGATAAACGTAAAAATTAACTTTCTGCTTTGCATTAATCATAACACAAATGCAGAAACAAAGTTCGAAAAGACTTAGAGTAATTTTAGCTACTAACCCTTCATTTGGCCATTGAACATATATCGATATATCAAGTATCTATAGCAAAGTCATTACGAATAAATAGGTCCTACGAACACGATGCCAAGGCAAATTCATATAAATCCAAGTAATGTCGAGGACCTTGGTTCGAAAGTGTCCTTAATGCCTCGGAACAAAAACATAAAAAAACAATCATAAAGGTGCGTTAATGCAGTTTCCAATTTCAGACGGTCCAAAGAATGTGAACATGAAGCATTTCATTTCAATTTAGTAACTAAAGCTTGTAACTTTCCCCATTTTCCAAACTTATTGTAGCCCGAGCATTCCAACATTCTTGATAACCGATATCTCCTTCTTTTTATTTACTCGGTCAATCCTTTGAAGGCCAAATCTCTATTAGTAGAAAGATTATGCATTTGATGTGAAAGAAATCTATACCGATCTCATATTCTTTTTTTTCATGATATTTTTTTTTATGGATGTAATTAGCTTTGACCGACTGCATTTTTAACTTTTTTTCTATGTATTCTGTCATGGGGACAGATTAAGGAAGGAGACAAATTAGCGGTGTTCAAGACGGATTAAGGAATTAGCACATCTATAATGTTCGCTTTTGTTGTCAATTTGGACAAAGACGGTCGCAATTTGCGATCCATCATCGTGCCGCTTCAATTGCGAAGTGAAAAAAGGAAAAAAAAAAGGGAAAAAGAAAAAGAAAATCCCCAATCACGCCAGAAAGTGGGCCCCACAGATCTCTGACTTGCCAACCCAATGACCCCACGTGGGCCCGCCATACGCACCCCGCACTTCTCTCTCCTCCCTCTCTCTCTCTCTCTCTCTCTCTCTCTCGCTCTCTATCTGTCGTGATGAATATTTACTTTGATGATGAACATGATGCGCGCAACCAAATTCATATTGACCGCAATACGCGATGAAATCTCGCCAAACCGGACGAATCAGATGATACTTACTCTTCTAGCGGTTGAAAATCCTATGGCAAAATGTCTTTCATGTTCAAATTTTCCGAGTTATTCCCAAGAAATCTTGAACTCGTTCCGCACTTATACGGATTTGTCGCTGGTATTCGAATAGTCTCGTGACTCAGCATAGAAAATTCGTTCCGAACTTTAAACCCTATTAAGTTTTGAAAGACCAGTTAAATGCTCTATTGGACTTGCCCCGCTGTAATCCCTTTCTGCTAATTAATTAGGGCATGTTGGGTGAATCGGATGTAACACTATATTATAGGGATACACCCGGTAAGGATATGTACAATCAAGGGAAAATAATAGGAAAAAAAGAACACGAAAGAAAAACCGAGCCATGTCCTGGAAGAAAGAGGGAGAAGGAGAGAGAATGGTGGATTCCGCCATGAATGGTGACCACAAGTGCGGCGGTTGCCATCTCGGGAGTGCCATGGTGACGGTGGTCACGGTCATTCGACAAGCTCAGCGACCGCTTTGCTTGTTCTATCTCTCTCTTTAGATTCGTGATCTATTGGTGCCGGTCATGCCACCGATGCTAGCTATGTGACCACATTCCCCCCGGTTGTGTGACCTTGCATAGTCACTGTTCAGTCATGTCGACGCTGGTTACGCAACCGCCACAACACCTGGCCAACCTCAGATTTGGGATTTGGTCGTTGAGGCAACCTTGTGCCTATTTCTTGTGCTCAATCACTGCAGATATGAGATCTAATCTTGAAACCGATACTAGCAGCCAAGTAAGTGTTGCACGATCGAAGGTGGTCACACCAAGCTTGGGGAGTGATGTGAACACTATTACGACCCATGCCTTAGCTTCTTTTTTTTTTTTTTTCGAAATCTCAAAAGGAAAGTTATATTCTACATTCAATCAGTTATATCCGTTGTACACCACCAATTTGAGTAATGTATATGCACATTCATGAACATTTGCCAAACAATATATAGGTTATTAGAATGATAGAATCTTATCTTAGTTATATCCAATTTGGTAAAAATGTCAAGATGACCAAATGTAGCCTCAATGCTTTCCTTAAATTCCCTGCCCTTTCCATGAGTGGATTTTGGACGACTCAAAAGCATTGGATCAAGTGTATCATAATAGATCCGTTAATTATATGGATCTCATGAGAAATTTACATGATCATCGATTGAGCTGGACCCAATTCTGTGATCCTAGATTCCCTCGTTAAATCAAAAGTTGAAGTTTAATGTAGATTGTTGACAAAAAAGAAGAAGAAATTTAACGTAGATGCATCACTTGGAACATAAATAAAGGGGCCATTGGTATTATTGCACAATCGGCTAGAAGCTCGATTTGTACAAGCATGGACAAGACGCAAAAGATGGAATTCGCCAGCAGGAGTGGCAACTGCAGCCGGCAGCTCTTCTCCTCGCTTGCAAATCTGCTCAGTCCCTCGATATCCACAACGCGATTTTTCTAAAGTAATTGCAAAGCGTTAATCGATGCCATTCAACAAAAGGGTATTTTCCATAAGAGCATTCGCCCCGTCGTCTCAGACACTTGCTCTCTAGTCCGCAGCAACTCGCGGCGCAGTTTCTCGTGAGACCCGCACACATCAGAAATAGCGTCGTTCACGGGCTGGCAAAACGGACATTTCATCGAGCAGAAACTATTCCTTCCTTTTCTTTTTAATAATATCCCCAGAGGTAGTGACTCTTCTTTGTAATATTCTCATTACTTTGTTGGAATGGAGGGTTTCCTTTAGAAAAAAAAGGAGGGAACTTGCATTCACATCTCGCACTTAAAAAGCCGAATGTTGATTTGGCCCAAGAGCATACAAAATATTAGAGATTGGCCACATGTGGTTGGCCTAACGGAACCGGGTCACCGGCAACGCCCCGGAGAATCAGGTCACGCATTACCGGGTAACCCGCGGGACAAAAGCGCGGGATCTACGGGGCCGTCCCTCCCTCCGTCCGGCTCAAAAATGGCTCGCGCCGCTCGAGAATCGCTTGCTTTCCCAAAACGAAAGAGGACACCCGCCCCCGGCCTACCGACACGTGTCCGTCGCCCCCCGTTCCCGAAAGCTGTGCTGGCCTCCTGCGGTTTTCTTTTTGACCGGCAAGGGGGGGCGGGGGGGGGAAGACGACCGGTCGGCAGACGGAATTCGTCCTTTTTTTCTTGTCGTTGTATTTGTGGACAGAAAGTTCCTACTTACGCTGCCTCCAAAACACTTCTTGAACAAACGAATTTAAAGCAAAAAAAACAAATTTTGATGTTTCTCGCACTAGACAAAATAAAATATAAAATAAAAAAATAGAAATTAACGGCATGAATGATAACTATTTCCCTATTATTCTATTTTTCTGTTCTTGAAAATAGGTTCGGAACATAATTGAGAAGTAAATTTTTTTTTTTACTTTGATATTTCTGGAACCTGAAAACGGTAATAACGACTCTCTCATTACTCGCCCTCACTGTCGTCGGAAATAGAAATTTAAGAATAACTTAACAAACCAATTTCTTTTCTGGGAAAAGAAGTTTCGTGTACTTTCTGTTCAGAAACTTGTCCGGGGAATTGAAATTAGAAAAGTCTATTTTTCACTAGAAACAGGGCCGAGGAAGACAATGGTTTTCATCCGTGCCCTAACACGCTTAATAATAACCCCGAGAAAAAATTCGTTAACGGGGTCGTGCTTTATAATAACCAAAAAAAAAACAAAAGAAGAAGGATGATTTGTTGTCGATATGGTAATGGGCCATATTCAGGATGGATAGCTGGTTGGCGAGCGAAGCCAGCAATGGGATGCCAATCAATGTCAAAATACACGTGTCCGAATGCTGGCATAGTATGGGGGTTCGCGTATTAGACTTTCGCTTCACGGGCTACTTGTTCGGTGCATTTCATGTCCTCCTTTTATTTATTTATTAATGGACTCGTAATTTATTGGGTCGTAGTTAAAATAGAAACGGCGGAAGAAAGCGACAAAGTTATCTTCTTGGTCCCCATCCTTTGATTAGCTAGTTGTATCCACCGATAAATCAAGCTCTATCATCTATGGGGATGTACGCTAGTTTAGGTGTTCCGATTACTTTACTTGTTTTCGACGTGTATATAATAAGGTCTTATAAGATATCGGGACACTGAA